TCTGTTACCTTCTCGCTGAAGTGGTACCTATTTATCTCCTTGCAATTTCTTGCTTTCAAACTGCTAGGCTGGCAGGAGCTGGGGCCAGAGACGGGAGCTCACTCCATCACTCAGCACTAGGGTCTTCCTTCCAGTCTGCAGCTCAGCATCTTAACCTCTGAGCCACCGCAGCCTACTTGGCAAGTCTACTTGGATACTATAAAGAAGCTCTGTGCACACCTCTGTCATACAGCATACTTCCTCTTGTGCTACTACTTCCATGTGTACAAGAGCCCACCACAAACCAATGATCTTTTGCAAAAAAGTATTGTGAGTGGAAAAGGATGTGTACGCTGTGGTGAATATCAGCACATACAGAGTTTGCTCATAGGACCCAAGCCTAGCTATCTGTCCATCTGCCTGAAACGCTATAAAGTAACATGCACTCTGATATGTTGTATAGTTGCATGTGCCCGCCCCCTGGGCTCTTTACTGCCGGAGCTCCGCTCCTGTGTGCTCCTGCAGGAAATGACCCCTGATCTTTTGCAAAAAAGTATTGTGAGTGGGAAAGGATGTGTACGCTGTGGTGGAGAATATCAGCACACACAGAGTTTGTTCATAGGACCCAAGCCTAGCTATCTGTCCATCTGGCTGAAACGCTATAAAGTAACATGCACTCTGATATGTTGTATAAATAAATTTAAAAAATAAAACAATAGAAATAATAACAACTAGCAAAGGCTAGCAGCCATTTTTGCAATTGCAGTAGCGGTTTTTCCCCTCAGTTGTCATCACTACAGAAATCATGGTTAGCCACAACCCTGCACTTCCTCCAGGTTCACAGTGGCAATTTTCTCATATGGTTCAGCCCATCGGGATGGTAAGGAAGGATGCAAAGAGGGGGAAAGTGACCGGTTGGCGCTGAAAGAACATAGAAAGTTGGCTAATGTTTCTTGATAATATCTCAGCTGAAACACTGGTGGCCTTTATGCTCCTTATCACATTTTGGGGAGGGGGGGGGATTCAAAATCTGTTTCCATGGTAACGGGAATGGAAATAGCAGCCTCAAATGGAGTGATCATAATTCCCTTGCAGTTCTTGAATCTGCATGACCAATTGTCTCTATTAAACAGTCGGTGCAAGAAAGAGGGTATATAATCGGTGATTTTTAATAAGTATAATTGACATTGTTGTCACGCTATTTTATTTAAATGCTGTTTGAAATATTGTTTAAAAGTTGCTTGACCACAAGAGAAGAAGGACATACAGCTTCCCGAGAGAGCAATAAGGAAACATATAATTGTCCTGATCAGGTGTCAAAGCCAGCCATGTTGAAGTTCTCATTTTTTTTTCCCCAGTGGGAGAAATGTAAGCATGTGCCTGCTTTTCCAGATTAAAGTGCAGCTGGATTGTGCCCTATTAGTTTGAACAACCAAGCAAAAATAGTGTATTTACCCAAAGGAAGACTCCCCCTCCCCTGCCCAGGTCAACTTATGTTTTCTTACAAGTTAGAAGTACAAACAGTAACTTAATCTTATCTTATCCATCCAAGCCTGTAGTTACAGTGGAGCATCTTGGGGACAGGGCCCCTGACTTACCACCCTGGCCTCTTGACTCTGCCCCCAAAGTAAAAAATCCTGGCTACAGCCCTATATCTGTCCATCCGTCCGTCCGTCCATCCACCCATCCACCCATCCACCCATTCGTCCGTCCATCCATCCATCCATCTATCCATCCATCCATCCGTCCATCGGTCCA